TTTGCATAGACTAAAGTACAAAGCAGTGAAAATCATTAATAGGCAATCGTTCGATGGGCTGAATTTCACAAAACGCTCGATCGCACCGGCTAGTCCTGGTAAGCATTGCTATTTATTTTTTTTTTTTTGGTGGGCAGGAAGGGGGAGAGAATAGTTTCACCACACCTGGGTAGTAACTTTCTCATGACTTAGTTTCAGTGCTTGGGTCTCAAGCCTGCATAATTCATTGTTTCGGAGTTTGTTTGTTTTTTTCTGTTTGACGAAGAGTGCACCTGTTCGTCCAGCGCAACGAAGAACTCTTGAAAAACCGGCTTGGGCGCTGTTTGCCAAATGTGTTGAAGGCAAACAAGATACACAGAGAGGGTAACAGTTCCATGCTGCCCTTGCACAAAAACGTCATCATTTGAATTTGTAGTACCACAGATCAATGCTTTCTACTTTAGCGGTCCTCTTTTTTCTGTCATGCTATTATCCAAACACTGTTGCGGTAAGTTACTTTAATCAGCTTTAATTTATACTGTCGCCTTCCATCTATACTGTCAGACAACTTCTCCAGATGCTTTGACCAGTGCTGCCGCTGCTCGGTGGTCAGTTCTATCGCAGTCCTTGCGTACGGTTATTTTTTTTGCTGAGGATATTGCCCATTGCTGTTTTCGGAAGAACTCCTTTTTTCGGGAATTTTTGAAAAGTGGGTGCCGTGCGGGGTTTTTTTTTGGCTGCGAATTTTACCCATTGCTGGTTTTGAAAAAAAAAACCCTTTTTTTCGAGATATTCTGAAAAATAAGACCCATCGATAGCCTTGCGAGCGGGTGATTTCTTTTAGCACATACTCTGACTCAGGCTATTGCCGAGTGTCTCCGCTTATCGGGGAGGGCAAATACGGAGCGGGTTTTGATTCGGTTTTGATAAGATCTGGTGCAATCTAGCACAAAGCATCCTGGCTTTACGCTAAATCTAAGTCTATCACAGCCAGCGCGTAATCCAGAAAGAGACCAAGGCTCAGCAGGCACCAATGATGGATCAGCTCTTATCGAAGAGTACTCAACTAAGCTGGATACGTCATTTATTGGACAAACAACGATTCTAATTGCTCGATTCAACACCTCCGATGCTACGCTTCATATCATCGATACAGCGGCCCGATCTTGGGATGGAAGGTACCGAAACTTCAGTTATTTTTTAAGTGGAAAGTAAGTCAAAAGTATTATTTGAGGCCTAAAATTAGACGACGTTGTCGCTCATTCAGTGAACTAGCGGTATTGCTAGTGAACGGGGAGATTATTTAAGAATTTTTTCCTTTTTTTTCTGAGGGGAATAAACTGTTTTATAATTTTTACTAATGATGTTCACGAGGAAAGTAGACGGTTCTTCGGGAGGGGCTTCCGAAAAAGTGGCGCATGTACAACGAATAGGCGATGAGTACTAACTGGAGGCATGCAACCTAGAATCGAAGGATCACATTTTGGCTTCAAACCAGGCACTC